TGAGACACTTTTTTTATGGATGGGCGCTTTTTATTTAACTTCTTTTGGACAGAATCAATGCAACACCTGCTGAGTGCCATTAAACAGCTTGAAAGATCAAAGACAATTTTTAATATAACTCCGACTGGATTCGTCTGAAAGAAGAAAGTCATATACACCTAGGATGCCTCGGGGGTGAGTAATTTATGGGCTAATTTTCATTTTTGGGTGAACTAACCCTTTAAAGCTGATTTCTGCATCAGTCTGTCATGCAAAAAACAATGTAAATCACTGTGTTTATTTGTTATGTAGTGTTTTATATAAACGCAATTACTGCTTTAGCTTCATTATCTCAGCATATAATACTTCAGCAAACACTGTATTAAACTGAAAAGCTGTTTTGACTTTAAATGGAATTAAGTCTCTTTTTTTTAGGTGCACAGAATTTGGGCCACTTCCCTGAAACTCACTTGCGATTGATGGAGTGAAGTAATCAGGGTTTGTACCTGCTTCCACCGCGGTAACTGTGATGTTGTGCCAGCCGGCAGTTTCCCGGTCCAGGATCTTTCCCAGAGTGATAGCACCTGTTACAGCATCGATGTTAAAGATCTGCTCCTGGTCTGTGCTCCGGTCTATAGAGAACCTGGGAATGAAGCACAAGGAAGGGTTTATTTATGTCATCCACTCGAAAACTGTCATTTTTCTTTTTAATACCCTTTCCCATAAAAAAAGTGGAGTGGGACGGTCAAGCACTAAAAAGGACATGAAAACGAACAGACCGAGATTGAAACTGAAAATCTAGACTTCCAACACAATGCAAGGGTTATTAACTACAACTAAAACTAAAACCATAAAACTAAATCCATTTTGTTACTGTCAATTTTCAGCAAATTTTCATTTTTGTGTGAACTATTCCTTTAAGTGAGCTTATACTTAAAACAAGAAAAATCTGCCCATGGGGTAAGAAAAATAAACTTAATTCAAAGGGAAAATTAGTTTTCTTAACCAGCTGGCAGATATTCATTAATGTTTTAAGCACAAAGTCCCTTAATTAATTGAAAAAAAAAATAATGTGTCTCAAGTAAATGTATCTTGATTCAAGAATGCTTAGCTGTTTTACTGAAAAACAAGACAAAAATATTTTTAGCAAGTCATTTCTTGCAGTGTCTATCTAAAGAAAAAGAAAATAGAGATTTAAATGTAGCACAGGTATCAATGTCTCTCTTGGAGCGCATAAAGAGCCACCGCCGAAGGAAAACAAACAAATATGTCCTGTCCAAATAGCAGGAGTGTGTTTTTCTAGCAGGTATAGTGCTCTCCGAGGGCTTCATCCGCTCGTCGTCCCGCTGGTATTGGGTGGTACGGGTGCGGGAGAGAGTGATGGGGCTCTGGGCAAAGCCCCTGTTTGCTAGCTGAGTCCAATGGAGATAATTAAAGTGGTACCGATGGGCATGGGCCACACGCCATACACCGATGTGTGCCAGCCAACCAGCAGAGTTTTCTGTCACAGCGCTGTGCTTTATAACACCTGGAGCACTTTGAGCGCAGCCTCATGCATTTTTAATGGAGGTAATTTGCAAAGGCTCCGTGTATGTGTGAGAGAGAGAGACTATACGGCCAGCCAAAGCCTTTTACTTCCCTTGTGCATCACCTTTGAGCTGCGGCAATGAGTAAATCATATTTCTGTGCGCTGCTGGCTCTGGAGAATAAAAAGCTCTATCACGATGTCGAATTGCGTGACCGAAATGCAGGGCGGGCATCTTTGATAATGGCGAGGGTTTGCTACACAATTCAGATGGCGCAGCCGCGGACCACCTGCAGTCCGTTCACTGACTGTCTGATGGATGTTATATACAAAAATAGAAATTACTCTAACAAACTCTAATTTGATTGCCTTTTTTTTCGTAAATTCCAAGAGTAACAGAACAAGGAGGTCTTTATCAGTCCAACTGGAAACAAATGATCATTGCTAAAGATTAACAGGTTAGTGTCATCAAATATTGAAAAGCAAGTCTTAATTTGTGCTAGGAGAAGACAGATCCAGCATCTCCGGAATTGGTGCAACATCTATTTTAGTGAATATGCCACCTCAAATGCCACAAAAAAAAAAAAAATTCCCATGACCTGTACATTTAAAACAATGCTATTGTCAGCTGAAACTATTTTTTTTTTTGGTTAATTGAAAATAAAATAAAATTAAATTAAAAAATAAAAAATAAAATTAGAATTAAAATTAAATTATAATCGAAAACTATTAGATGAAGAAGATTAAATAAAAAATGTATTAAATTAAATTAAAAAATTAATTAAATTAGAAAATTAAATTAAATATTTAAACTAATTAAATTAAATTAAAAATGAAATTAGAAATGTTGCATTGGTGAATGCTAAATAAAAATATTTTAAAATAAAAACAATAGCAAAATATAGAACAACATACTAAAACAAAACTCAAATTTTAAAGAAAACAAAAGCTAGTTTAAAAATCAATAAATACTATAATAAATAATAAAAAAAAAAACACTGATTTTAATTGGCTACATCCCTATAAAATGTGAAACAAAAGCAGTGATACCATTGTTTTGGTGTTGTTGTAGTTGTTCATCATATGTTAAGTCTATGTCATCTCTTATCATATAAAAACAAACTATGGACAGACAGAATTTTTTTCAGGCAGAAAAATCTATGAACATTTTGCATTGTAATCAAAATTCTTTGCCATTTTTCTAAATAAGTGAAAAATACAACACTAAAATTCTAAATCAACTTTTAAATCAATTAACAATCAATGTGTAGTAATAATAATAATAATAATAATAATAATAATAATAAAATTGTCCAGCATCTGAAATTGCCTAGTATCTGATGCATATATGTTCTGCACCTCTGTCACAATTTGTAAGAGATTTCTGTAATTCTGTACCCAATTTATAGAAGTGTTTCTCCATATCAAATTATTATTGCAGTATAATCTATTGCAGATAAACCTGCCCCTTAAAGGCATATAAAAACAAACTGTGCTCAATGACTTAACATGTCAGTCACGCTGTCTCTTCCCGCAAAACGTGTGGTTCCTGACCAGAATAAGCTGCAATGTGAACCAGACTTTATTGCTGAAGTCACAGGTCTGGACACGCAAGACTACACAACAGCAGACAGAAAGTTCTTGCGACTGAGCAGACATTTGACATGCTTCCCAAGGCCTGGAGGTGAAGAAGCTTTTCTGGACGACTTGCATGAGTGTGTGTGTGTGTGTGTGTGTGTTTGTAAAGAAGTATGGAAGGTTGATAACTATATGTGCCAAGATGCCCATAGCGTAATGGGAAAAGCCTCCGGCCAGCACATTCCAAGAGCCACACTTTGTTATGCTTCCATGACTCGATATATATCTCCAGTAATAGGCTCCTCAATGGAGGAAATTGATTCTTGTCTAAACTAAGAAGAAGTGGACTGTGGCCAGGGTGTGAAAACACACACAAATTCACAAATACACACATAAACAAACTGTTTTGCCTTTTCACTTTATCTCATTGAGGCTCACAGTCACTGAAGTTGTGCATTGTGATAAAATAGCTGATAAAGCACCGTCGCTGCCAAGCGTAATGATGTATTTAAATTCAAAACCCCTGTAAGATCTATAGCTTCAGAGTTGTGCAACAAAGTTTTGCCCATGCAACAATTTTTCTAGAAACGTCTGGGCATATTACTGCTAAATATTTCAGGCCTAAAGTTCTGTGTTTTCTTAACATGATTTATACAAAAATCATTCTAGTATGTTGATTTGCTGCTCAAGAAACATTTCATCTTATTATTGATGATGAAAGCAGTTGTGCTGCTTAATACTATAACATTATAAACATCTTTACTGACACTTTTGATCAATTTAATGTGGCCTTGCTGAATTAAAGTATTTTTTCTTTTCTAATAATACTAAAGACCAGTAATTAGTATTTTTTTCTTTCTAAATAAAACTGAAAATATAATAATAAAAGCTATGCATTACATAAAAGTATACAAATAATACTAAAATAACAGTAATTAGTATTTTTTTCTTTCTTTCAAAAAAACAAAACAAAAGCACAACAAAATTACTAAAACTTACACTAAAAAAAAAATAAATAAAATGAGCTATTGTTCACAGCCTCCACGACCACGTTATGAGTGCGCTTGTTCTCAAAGTCAAGAGGCTGAAATGAAAGAGACATTTAGAAATTATAAAGACTACAATACACAAATTTCTAAGGTTTTATATGATCAACATGATCAAAACTGCTGTTAAACGTGTCGCACGGAATCTACTACATGCCTTCTGTCGTCTGATTGATCGTTTATGCTTTTTAGCAAGTAAAAGGCCTTTTAGTATAATTGTCCAGCTTCAGCTGGAGCTTCACGTGTCTTTCTGCTGTCAAATCTTGACTGATTTTGATCAAGTAAACGTCGCGGAGGAATGATCTATATCTCCAGATGAACATCTCACATCTTCTGAGGAGCCTTTATTTCTTCAGCTCTCAATCACTGCATTATATGTTTGGATCATTTCAATCTCATCTTACTAAAACAGATTATTGGAGATATAGAGCGACGACTGATATTTATATGAATTTTTACTGTTATAAAGATCTCATTGATTTAACATTACAAGCTATCAGAATTTCATCTTACTTTTTTGTATCTTTACTTTATATATTACATATTTATAGATATATATGTTAGATTTTAAGTACACTTATGTATATTAAACAATTCTGGTACTGTGCTGAATCACCCCTTGATGTTAAAAATCACTAGCTAACACCAAAATCCACCATATGGCCACGTGTGATGGCCAGGACGACCTTCAGAGCGTGAAATGACACAACTGAGAGGTCTTCCATCTACCTTTTTGATGGTGATGACGGCCTCTTGTGTGTCTCCGTCAGTCGAGACTCTGAACAGCTCTCCGCCCTCCTCGTCTTTGATCAGGTAACTCATATCCGTATTCTCGTCCATGTCTGCATCTGTCGCGATCACCCGGCCGATCGGCGTCCCAACGGCCGCACCCTCCGAGACCGAAAACTGATACATCTCTGTGAGCAAAAGAGACGACGTTACTTTCATGATGGTTTCCATTCATGTTGACACACTGTGGTGAGAATGCATGCATATTAGGGCTGGGGAATACAGCAAAAGAAAAAAAATCCTTTTGATGATATTTAAATATTAAATAATAAATATATACTGTGAAATATTCAGTTTTGCGGTATATGTGTATTTGCTCTGAATGGCTTAAAAAGGGTGCTTTTCTTCAATTAAAAGTAAAAGAAAAATTGTAAAATATTTTTTGCACCATTTTTCACTAAATGAACAGAAGGGGAAAAAAATATACATTTTATTATTTTCATTTTATATGCACCAATATAAAAATGCATAGCAAAATAACTCTTTGCTCACCAAGGCTGCATTTATTTGACCAAAAATTGTGAGATATTATTACTATTTAAAATAGCTGTTTTCTATGTGAATAGATGTTCAAATGTAATTTATTTCTGTGATCTGCAGCTGAATTTTTCAGCATCATTACTCCAGTCTTCAGTGTCACATGATCTTCAGAAATCATTCTAATATGCTGATCTGCTGCTCAAGAAACGTTTCTGATTATTATCAAAGTTGAAAACAGCTGTGCTGCTGAATATCTTTGTAGAAACTGATACATTTTATTTTTCAAGATTCTTTGATGAATAGAAAGTTCAAAAGAACAGCATTTATTTGAAATAGAAATCTTTTTGAAATAGAAACATTGTAAATATATTTAGTGTCACTTTTACTCAATTGAATGCACCCTTTTGAATAAAATTATATATTTTTTCTTCCAAAAAACCTTACTGATCCCAAACTTTTGAATGGTGTGCATATACAGTATTTTATATTAAATCATTTTAAAATATGCCAAAAGCCACTAAATATTATTGAGCAATGACTCAAATGAATCGTTTTGTTCTGTTTTGAACTGACTGATTAAAATGAATGATTCACAGACACCTTCTGAACATGTTTATTAAAATAATCTTCAAATCAGGCTGACTTGTGTTTACTAGAGAAGCACATATCATCTCTTAACCTCAGAGCTCATGCTACGTCCGTCTAGAAAGATTTATCCATAATCATTAAGAATCGATTTCTCTATGGAGAAAATGAATGGTCTGTTCACATCAAGAAGTCGAATGTTGCACTATTTAATTTGAAGCTGTTTTAACAGCAACACAACACAATGTCAAACCTCCCTTTAATAAGCATCCTGGCCTTACATAATGTACAGTCTATATGTAATGTAGGCAATATGCCTGAGTGCAGTATGTGTCATAACGGAGTATAAAGATTTCAGTTTGGCCCACAATACATAAAGCAGCTTAATGAATTAGATGCTAAAGCAAAACTGGTATAAATGAGGCTTTTGTGGAGAATGAGAGGGGAAAAAAGAGGAGAGAGTCATCGAAATATGGAGAAAAACAGACATCAGGGCATGTGAGACAGCATTACAGCGAGTCTCTTTGCTGTAATAAAGCTAATGCTGCTTTTCCTCGGGAGGAAATGGAAAGGGAGGACAGAAGACCAGCAGAAAAGGGAACATAACACCCCAATGTGTTTCATTGCTCTTTATACGCTGTGGCTGCAAACACACAAACACACACACACACGCACGCACGCACGCACGCACACACACACACACACACACACACACACAGTCCATGCGCTCTGATGTGAGCAATGAGACAAAGTGCTTTTTATTTGTCTGAGCATGTGATGTGTATTGCTGCCGCTCTATTCAGAGCCACAGCACAGCGCTGGCCTCCGATACGATATATAAGTCAAACACACACGTGCTGACTATAGCATAATATCTGTCTGCTGTAATGCCTGAAAGTAATAATAAACATATACATACATGCCTCTGAAAATGTCATTACATGATTCATAATATTTTATTAATCAGACACTGTGATGCAACAGTGGGAGCACAGAATTGTATAAAGGTTTGCTATGATTACATTTAGTCTCCTAATCTAAAATAAGCTAAATGAAAATAAATAAATAAAGTAGAATAAAGTAAAAAAAATATATATATACATATATATACTGTATATATATATATATATATAGACCATTTATGCATTACCACTCAAAAGTATACAATATATACAAATACAATATATATTGGGAAAAAAAAATAATTATTACTTTTATTCAGCAAGGATGCGTTAAATTGTTCACAAGTGACAGTAAATACATTTATGATGTTACAAAAGATTATATTTCAAATAAATGCTGTTCTTTTGAACTTTCTATTCATCAAATAATCCTGAAAAATAAAATGTATCACAGTTTCCACAAAAATATTGCGCAGCACAACTGTTTTCAACATTGATAATAATCAGAAATGTTTCTTGAGCAGCAAATCAGCATCTTAGAATGATTTCTGAAGGATCGTGTGAGTCTGAAGACTGGAGTAATGATGCTGAAAATTGAGCTTTACATCACTGGAATAAATTACATTTTACAGTATATTCATATAGAAAATAAATTGTAGTAATATTTCACAATTTAGCTGTTTTTACTGTACTTTTTTACTAGATCAACTTAACACTGATAAGATCAACCTATACCGAACACAAGCTATATTACAGGATTTCTAATCAATAGAAATCCCTGCCAAAAAAGCTCTTTCAGCCAGTGTAGTCATTTCGTGTTTCGACTGGGCTTGAATGTTTCTGACCAAACACATACGACTGACATGTTCTGACTGACAGGACGTTTGACAGACTTTTAGAACTGACAGCAGAGGTTTAGTGGCATTCACACTCACAGCCATTTGCAGCAACAAAGAAGCCATTCGGTTTCAGTCAGAGTTTGTGATTTAAAGGAATGGTAACTTCAAAACTTCTGTCATTAGTTACTTTTTTTTTTTCACCCAAAAATGAAAATTGGCTAAAAAATGTGCTCACCCTCAGGCTATCTAAGAAGTAGATGAGTTTGTTTCTTCATCAGATTTGGAGAAATTGCATCACTTGCTCACCAATGGATGCTCTGCAGTGAATGGGTACCGTCAGAATGAGAGTCCAAACAGCTGATAAAAACATCACAATAATCCACAAGTAATCCACACCACTCCAGTCCATCAGTTAACATCTGGAGAAGACAAAAGCTGAGTGTTTGTGAATTATTGTGATGTTTTTATCAGCTGTTTGGACTCTCATTCTGACGGCACCCATTCACTGCAGAGCATCCATTGATGAGCAAGTGATGGAATGCTACATTTCTCCAAATCTGATGAAGAAACAAACTCATCTACATCTTGGATGGCCTGAGGATGAGCACATTTTCAGCCAATTTTCATTTTTTGGGTGAACTACTGCTTTAAAACAATAAGCATCAGTGTCAGGCTTATAGACCTATCAATACAGAGTGTGAGTACTGGATATAGCAAACGAGCATCCAATCGAGACTGGAAAAACACAAATACCAATCAATTAACCACTTTTTTCTCTTTAGATGAGACTCTAAAACGTAGATGAATGTTCAACAGCAAATGCAAATGGCAACATCCGTCTCACAGCCTGCATGTGTCACTTCTGCAATACAAAACTCTATTAGTTTGTTCCAGTTGTTTAGATTTTGAAGTAGTGTCTGGCTTGTGCTGCATTCTCTCTTAGCAGGGACCAAATCTGTGCTTTATTAGTTTATAGCTGGAGCTGTTCAATGATTCCACCGCATTAGTCGTCTCAGAGAGAGCTGTGCTGTTCAAGCATTTCAGGATGTCAGTGCAAAATTGACATATTTTACGATCTGGAATTTAAAGTCTTTTGAGCACTTAAACAAATCATTTAAAATATTAATAATTACAAGAATTTTATCAAGGTTGCCTCTTCAGGTGCACAGAGAGAGCTCTACTTTTCATTGATTGAAATAAAGATGAAATTAAATAAAGTATAATTATTATATGAGAAACTTAAAATGTTTTAAAAAATGTAATCAAAAATTAGAATTGTTTCCTTGACTATTAACTGAAATAAAGTTGAAGTTCAAGTACTAAACTTACTAAAACTGAAATAAATAAATAAATGTATTTATAAAATAAAAAAAGGGAAATATAAAAAAAAATGACAAGCACATAGCAAAATTACTAAAACATATCTAAAATTAAAAATAAAAACTGAAAATATAAAACGATTATCCAAAACACTAATAAATGCTACAATAGTATAAATATTACTAAAATAACACAAATTGGAAATGCTTTCTTGGCCAACTAACTTAAAGCTTAAGTTGAAGAACTAAAATGACCAAAACTGAAATAAGAATAAATTAAAGCTGAATACAATATTCATCATAATGCTATTAATACATTACCTTATTCATTTATTTATTTTAAATGCACAAACTTAAAAATAACAAAAGCACATCACTAAACTAAAATTAAAATAAAAGTTGAAAATCCAAAAAGCTAGTTCAAAATATCAATAAATGCTACAATAGTATATAAATAGGGGGGTGCAACTGGTGCGGTCGCACCGTGCCCCACGGCGAATGCCCGTTTCCACCCCCCCGGGACTCGATCGCGAATGGACCGAGGGGGGTCCCGCTCCCACTCCAATGTTAACAAAGACCTTATTGAAAAGTGTTACTCAATTATTAACCTTTATTGCCTGGAAATCACAATTTGTAATGAGGATGTGCTCAAGAATCGGACAGATGGCTGTTCTGTTGACAGCGTTCAAGCCAAAGGTCACATCTGATGGCATGCAGCTGACTGACGGCTGACATAAAGCACACTCACTCTGAGGGAAGCGTGGAGGGTTGTCATTAACATCCGTGATCACTATAGTCACTGTGGTGGAACCGGAGAGGCCGCCCATTTGGCCTGCCATATCTGTTGCCTTGACAACCAGCTCATAGCGGTCCTGCGTCTCACGATCCAGATCCGCCACGGCCGTCCGGATCACTCCTGAAGATGAAGAAAGAAGAGAGAGATGGAGGGGTGTTTAAAGGTCACACGAGCAGCATCACATGTCTGAAGCCACTTATAGTTCTTCTTATGCTTTCAGAATTAACTTCAATTCAAAGAAACTATTATGCAATTCAAGTGCTGCCTAGAAAAAAAATACTTATACATGTTCCTCCTGCCATGGTTACCAATTAGCACTCTGATATGAATATAAATATAGGAGATCTTATTACTCATTTGAAATTATAAATGCCATGAGACTTAGTAGGCGAGCAGTTCACCGATTTCACATAAGCTGCGTTCACACCGTCAGCGTTTGGGACTGAAATTGTCCATCTGCACAATATTTTGCAGATGTGGATCAACAAACGTCTGTGTGAACAAGCAACTGATGTGAAGCTCCTTTTTGAGATTCGTAACAATTAAACATCTGCATTTGAACCCAAACCAAACTATTTAAAGTATTTATTTTTTTATTGAAATGAAGCTGAAATAAAAAAAATATATATAAATATTAGATGAAAAACCAGTACTTAAAAAAAAACTTAAGCGGAAATTAGAAATGTTGCCTTGGCAATTAATTGAAATAAAATAAGTTTAAATTGAATATAAAAAATAAATAAATAAATAAATAAATAATACAAATGCCGAAAGCATGTAACAAAATTACTAAAACTTAAACTACAATTAAAATGAAAATTGGAAATATAAAAGGCTAATTTAGAATATTAATAAATACTATTATTAAATAACACATTATAAATAATAGATTAATAATAATAATAATAAAAAACGACAAAAGCACATAACAAAATAACTAAAACTTAGACTAAAATAAAAATTACAACTGAAAATATAAAAAGCGTATTCAAAATACCAATTATATTATATTATATTATATTATATTATATTATATTATTATAGACCTTGTTCTTTACAGCTTTTGTGAAGCTCATACTTGTAGGTATTAAACAGTTGAATGATTTGCAAATTAACACAAAACTAGAATGTTTCAAAAGCCATAAAAGTCTGTAAATGACTTGTTTTCTCCTCTAAACACGAGCCGCCGCAGGAACACTGGTCCTGGAATCAAGATATTTTGGGAGTGAAATAAAGACAATGGCACTGTGTTATCCTGAAGGACCGCAATTATCCTTTGTTGCCATGGCATTGGTTAGACACAGGCATGGAAATGATGAGAATGGTAAAGGACACACGCCAGCCTGACACTCCTGCTGCGCAGCTCCTTTATTCTGTTCACATCGCGGGAAAATCTAAAATCGGCTTTTTTCAAGAATGCAGGCAAAAGATAGGCAGAAACATAACCTGTTGCATATAACCTTTCCTCACACTCGCTCGCTCTCTCTCTCTCTCTCTCTCTCTCTCTTCTGTCCTGATGTCACACGAGCACGACTGGATGCAGCGAATCTGACACGAAATGTGACAAGCCACTAAAAATTACTGTCAGTCAAACGGCAGGAGACGACTGCAGACGTTACAGTAGCGATGAGTGAAAGATTTCATCAGCCACAATCTCACATCTACATTAAAGACTCCGTGAAATCACTATCAAAGCCTTGTGCTTTTCATTCTGTGTCTGTCAGATGTACTAGTGCAAAAACTGACTAAATCAGTGGAACTGTTGATAAGAGTCGTTTGTTATATCTGTACTAATCTATAATCATTTCTACACAGAACCACCACCTAGAAATGCTGTCCGCATTACGTCATGTTCTTCATTCTAAAATGTAAAAATGTTGGTTATTATTAATATATCTTTTTGTACTCACATCATCAAAAGCCTATTTTTAGGACCATTCGTTTTTTTTTGTTTTTTTTGGCATTGTGACATTATTTTAATCACAATTAAGCAATTAAAAATGCCATTGACATTACTGTAATAAT